TATATTGTGTGTGTGTTTGTGGTGTGTGTATGTGAATTTATGTATGTGTGTGTGTGTGTGTCTGTGTCTGTGTCTATGTCTGTGGTCCTCTGTGTGTGTCTATGTGTATGCACATGTTTGTGTGCGTGTGTGTGTGTGTGTGTTTGTGTTTGTGTCTGTCTGTATGTGTGTATGTATGTATGTGTGTGTGTGTGTATGTGTGTGTATTTGTGTGTCTGCGGCTGTGTCTGTGTGCTTTCTGTGGGGCTGTGTGTGTGTGTGTGTGTGTATACATTAACTTTTTGTTGTGTGAATGCGCGCGCGTGTGTTTGTCTGTCTGTCTGTGTATGTGTGTACACGTACAGGTGTGGCTCTGTGGAATTGTGCGCGTGTATGTGCGTGTATGTACACGTACACGTGTTTGTGAGTGATTATGTACGTTCGTGCGCGTTTGTGTGTGCATCTCTGTGTGTATGTGTTTGTGGGTGTGTGTTTTTACCTCGAAGATGGATGCTTTTTTACTTACTTCTCTTGCATAAAAATATTATTCTTAACAATATTTGTTAGCATTGCAAAACGATTACCGGAACATTTATTCGTTTGCCGTGGTGCACAGATGATAGCATGTTTATGTGTATATATTGAATTGTCTCGATACACTGAACTCTATATATTTTGGATATGCTCGGACATCTGAACTGTATCCAGGCCGGTGTGAGTTTAGAACTCAGACGTAAACGTTCAAACAAAATAATACTCGATGCTTGAACAGAAGACTGTAAAGTACATTGTATCGGCTATTGCTGGCAAGTATTATATTCCCAGGATGCTGAGTTCATGAACGGAACAGGTGTATCCTTCTCCCTCCGCACAAGCCATAGGGTAAACAACAAGCACGCGCGAATAGTTAGACAAAAATCACCCAGACATACGAGTCACTGGACTCCATTTTGGCAAACAATTGGCTTTCCTTCTCGTCTCTGGCCTCAGCTCTCGCGCGAGCATAAAACAAAAATGATTGAGATCGATAAGAGCGTACGCTCCATATATACTCCAATTTTCATTACACTACTACTCATTGATCTTCTCTACTATCTATAAAAGGTGAATGTTCTAATGAAGTCTAAAAGTCTAAATCATGATGGATTTAAATACAACAGATTATTGTATTAATAAATAAATAACTATGGGGATGAGCTGCAAAGCTTCAGTCTCCATGATTAGTTCGGCGTTTCGTCCCGAGGATGTCGACCATAGCACCTTCGACAAGGAGGTATACGCAATATAACATAGGTGTTACAACTTACATCGCAGAGACGCAACTTGGCTCCGCCTTGTTTCTTGTACGTAGTTTGTACTATAGCTCTCCATTCATCCTTCACCACACTTCACCACTCCGTACCGTTCCTGCATTGGTCTCATCTTATGTTAGGGGTTTGCTATTTATACAGAGTTCCTCACGCAAAGTGCATTGGAGAGCCTCCGCAAGAGCTATACCGCCATCATAGACCAACTACACGAGTCTGTACATCCAGAATGGGTAATGTCTCTGCACCAGGTATGTTCGTCATCTACTATCTCGTTGCGTCCAGGACTGTTGCCCTGCTCGCTTGCAATCGTGTTATGTATGTGTATAAGCCTGAAAAAGATACTACCGCTTGGAATTTATGATGGCTTGTCCAGATCCCCTCACTAATACAGCACGCTCCTAGTATCGAAGTACTCTGATAGCGGCAGGAGGTGTGTGGTGCTCTACGCCAGGCAGGCATAGAGCAATACACCTATCATAACACAATTCTCTAAGTATCTCTCAAAACAATTAGTTATATATATATATATATATTTATATATATATATTTATATTTATTTATATACATAATATGTATGCATTTATGTACATACATATATATATATGTGTGTATGTGTGTGTATATATATGTGTATTTATATATATATATATATATATATATATTTATTTATTTATTTATAGACATAATATGTATGCATTTATGGACATATATATATATATATATATATGTGTGTGTGTGTGTGTGTATTTATAT